GCCCCCCCACAAAATGTGTGGCTATTATGCGTTGCATAATAATGACCAGGCTAAATTCATTATTGTAGATAATAGATACAATGTCAACTAAAATAATTTCATGTAACTCACGTTCATAAAGAATTATGATTCCATTATTCTAAAGTTGATACGTGAAATATGGACTTTCTTACACTTTTTATTGATCGACACGAAATGTATTACTCCTTTCGTCCTAAAATTAACTTCTCATTTTGACTTTTGCAGTCAAACTTTTAAAACTTTGACTGTATATTACGGAAAAAATATATTGAATTTTCATATAAATTTATTATCAATAGATTCATTTTGAAACATAGTCTTGAAATATATTATTTTTAATATATATATATTCATATAAAAATAGAGATATTATTGATCAAAGTGTCGCATTGGAGACCGTGAAAAGTCAAATGAGAAATTAATTTTAGGACGGAGGAAGTATCTTTTAAAGAGTCTAATTTATCGATGATATGGAGTATTAGCATTCAAAAGAGATTCTATTGTGTAAGAAAAGAAATAGCATGAAGAATTTATCGGTGTAGACCCAGTTTGACCAGTGTTATTAACCCGGATCAGACAGGTCGGTTCAATAGGTCAAATTACGACCCGAACACAACCGGTCCGATCCAATCCCTAAAACCCAGAAAAAACTGGATCGACCCGGAAGAATCAGGATTAACCCATCCTCCAGTCGGGTCTGACGTCCAGATTTAAAATCAGTACCTAAACTTTCTCCCCATAAAATTGCAAAATTACAAAGGAACTGTGTATCGTCCCCAGTGATGTCGCTTGGCGCCACCTCCGACGACCTCCATGCTATCGCCACGGAGCAAAGCAGAGAACTTCTTGCGGCGCAGGTCATGGAGTCCGACTTGGAATTCGCCTATCGCCTCCAACTGCAGGAAGCATTAAACGCTTCTCTTTCTGCGCAGCCATCCACATCCACCGCTTCTCCGCTTCCCGATCCCGAGCCGTCGTCCTCCGCCGGCGATGTGTTTAGCCTCACTGTCGCTCAGTCACAGGAGATTCTTAAATTACAGCAGGAGCTCAACGATCAGAGGCTCTCTGAAGCGGAGTTCAAGAAAACCCGAGATGATCTTCACCGTCGGATTCACGATCAGCGGTTCGCCCGGGCGATCTCGCAGATGCCGGATGACGAGTGGGAAGACACAGGGGACAATTTTGAACTCCCGTTCGGGGAGGGGAGTTCCAAAAGCTTTACTGCAGAGGTTTTTAGGGTTTATTTTAAAGGTTTGGTCGAAATAAGTGACTCTAAGCTCGTTTTCGGTGGGATTGGGGTTGCAGTCTGCGATTCAAGTGATCAGTTGCTATTTGAATTGACAAAATCTGTGAATGGAAGTGGACTAAATCGAAAATGTGTGGAGTTCAAAGCCCTAATTGAAGGATTGAACGCCGCGATTGCATTGGATTTGGAGAGAGTTGTGTTCTATTGTGATTACAAGCCAATATATAATTTTGTGAGTCTTCCTCTTTCTTTGGCACTTGCAATTGCTGGATATTTTCCATTCTTTCCGATCAATCTTGCTTCTAATAATGTGGTAGAAGCTGTAAATGAGAAGGAAGTGAAAGTATGACTATAGGGTGTCTTCTACTGAATTAGGATAAGGTTTTTGTAGTGTTAAAAGTTATTCTGTTTTAGTCTTTAGGCATTGTTTAGGCTCTATGAAATAAAGAATCACTTGGAGTATTTGGGACACTTTTTGTCTTGAACTTATTCTTGTAAGAAATGAAAAAAAGAGAGGATAAAAGCAATTCTGCGTTTAAGTACTCTTGTAGGAGCAGAACCAGTTCTGAGAAGCAGATCAAAATCATCAAACACGCCCCAAATTGAAGAAGATTGAAGAAATTTTCAGAATCTGGAGAAACCTTTCAATCTATGAAACTTTCCATATGGACCACACAAATCACCCGGTACAAATCGATAACTCAATTTTCAGTGAATACTAATCTACGCACACTACTAGGTGTAGTGTCTTCGATAACTAGACACTGAAGAATAGGAAAACATGGGTTAATGTTTAACGGAGTTTCTGATGTTCATATATTTTTATCTGCCAATGCATCTTACTGATATTATGGTACATGTTTAAAGCAATAGCACATGTTTTATCAATTCAATTGACATGTGGAGAACTTGGCTGAAAACTGTGCAGGTAACAGGCCAATGGTTACCTAAGCAGCAAAAAATCGCGGTATTAATGAATCAAGTGAACAAATTAAGACGAAAATTTAGACTGTGCCGTCCGTATCTTGCGACTCGAAATCAAATTAAGTTTGTCTTCAAATTTGCAAGAGAAGCATTGCTTTCTCAAATCACAAAACAGGCATGCTCTTCTGCTTCTAAGACTGTGTATGAGACTTGTGTGATTTGCTTAGAGGATGTGGATGTTGGACGGATTGTCTCAGTTGATGGCTGCATGCACTGGTATTGCATCTCCTGCATGAAGCAACACATGGAAGTTAAATTGCTTAGTGGGCTATTACCTGAATGCCCTCATGATGGCTGTAATTCGGAACTGAGAAGTGATCATGTTAGTAAACTTTTGACACCTAAGCTTGTTCACCTCTTGAATCTGCGAATCAAGGAAGCTTCAATTCCCGTCGGGGAGAGAGTGTATTGCCCTTTCCCCAAGTGCTCTGCACTGATGTCAAGAAGAGAGATCTTCGAACACTCTAGAGGAGCCAATATTGATACTGAAAGGTCTGGGGCTAGGGTATGCACAAATTGCAATGGTCTGTTCTGTATTAATTGCAAAGTTCCATGGCACAGTAGAATGAATTGCATCGAGTACAATACAAGAAATCCCGGGCCACAAGAAGATGTGAAGCTGAAGAGTTTGGCTGCTGTAAAATTGTGGAGACAATGTGTGAAATGCAACCATATGATTGAATTAGCTGCTGGGTGCTACCACATGACTTGCAGGTAGTATCGTTTTCTAGCTCTGTTTGTTTGAAACAAATATACCAAAGCTGCTATTAAGTATTAATGTCGTTCAGCATGAATCTTAGTGAACCACCATTGACTTGGTAATTCATGTCTTTTCCCATCAATTTCACTGTCTTGTAGCTTCACACACAAATGTATCACCAATTCACCATTAGCTGTATACCTCCTATCCTACTACTAAAAGTTCTCCTTATATCCATGTCCACTTTTTTCTCAAGTGTCTAGCAAGTTTATCCTGACCCCAGAACATGTGGATACACAGTACAAGTGTGGATCTGTTTGTTTCAAAGTGCCATTTTCTTATTTAGGATTTGTTTGGTAGGTGGAAAAGTAGAGAGAGGGGAAGTTGGCGGGGCTGAATAGAAATAAAGAGAAATAGACAAAGGTTGTTTGGTCAAATAGATATTGAGTGGAACTACTACTAGAGATGAAATACGTAGTATACGAGTTAAAGTGATTTGGATAGGTGAAAGTGGAAGTTCCACATCTTGCTCTCCCATGGGTGTGGAAATTTTTGAACAATTCTTTGCTATTTCACCCCACCAAACAAATCTTTTTTAAGTTGTGTGGCATATATTACTACTAACTACTAAGTGACCTTGGTTAAGACGTTTATGCCATTCCTTTTTTCCCATTATATTCTGTGTGTGTGTCTGTGTATTGTAGATTTGGGATCCATTATAAGTTCATTTGTCTGGTGTTATTCATCTTTGTGAGTACGAGCCTGTTTTATCTCTTTTTTACCTGTTCTGAGCATTTGTGGTGCAATCTTCTTTTTCTTTTTTTGTGTGCGCGGAAACAGATGCGGCTATGAGTTTTGCTACACATGTGGAGCAGAGTGGAAAGGCAAGAAACAGACATGCTCTTGTCCTCTCTGGGATGAGGAGAACATCTTAGATTCAGACGAGGAACTGGTGGACGATGACAGCGATTTTGAAGATGGGGATGAAGATTTTTTTTGATTTTTGAATCTCTCTCTCTCTCTCTCAAGTTAATGCATGGAATTAGCTTTTCATTCTGTTGATTGAAAAACTAAGGAACTTTTTTGGGGTTGGGCTTGAGGGGGTTTCCCTTTGTCCATTTTTGTTCCTGCAGTCCTGCCTTTGTTTGTGAATTGTGATCCTAATACACACACACACACACACATTGAAGCATAAGAAAATAGACTCTTGGAAAAATTGAAAAGGTGGGATTTTTATTATATGGTGGCTAAAATCCACCATTGGTCCTTCAACTTTATGAGTTGTGTACAATTAGTCTTTCAAGTTTCAAAAGTCTATGAATATTTCTACAGCTTTTTGAGTTATGCACGATTGGTTTTTCAAGTTTTAAAAGTGCGTAAGTAGTCTTTCAAGTACATGTCAGCCTTCTAGATGAGGTCTTTTTAACAGTAAATATTAAAAGATAAATGGAAAAATAGTTCTATATAATACGGGTAAATTCCACTAGGTACGACTTCTCCGTATTATATGGAGCTAGTAATCCATTTAGCTTTTGACATTTACCGTCAAAAGGATTTCATCTGAAGGGCTAACGTGTACATGAAAGACTACTTATGGACTTTTGAAATTTGAAGAACCAATCGTGCATAACTCATAAAGTTGAATGACTATTTATGAACTTTTGAAACTTGAAGAATCAATAATGCACAACTGATAAAATTTGAGGACCAATAGTGGAGTTTAGCCTTATATGGTAAAAGTGTACAATTTCAATGAAAGAAAGAATGGGTGTCCACTTTTCTTCTTCTTGATAATACAATTTTTTTTTGAACAAATGCACAAATCCACAACATTTTTCATCTTCTTTACTTTCTTCCGACTCTTTCTAATTTGTTTTAACACTTTACTGTTTCATCTAACACATTCTAGTTGTTTTAAGTCTTTCAAGTTATTCTAACTTTTTCCAACTCATCTCTATTTTTTCCAACTCCTAATTTCTTCAATATCCAACTCCAATATAATTAGGAAAGCTATACCTAAAAAAATTAATGTACATTCAAGCTCAAATATATCATCATTCGTTATTAACATTATACTACTACTAAATAATGTTGGCTATAGATCCAAAATAATAGTAATAATGTTAGCTAGGTTCTTCAAAACCTATATTTCTTGATACTAGATGATCAATTATATTGTCACCTCAAAAAATTTACTAAGAAAACCTAATGATAAATATTTTGTAAACAAGTATACTAGGTTTTCACTTGACTTGATGTGATGATTATTGATCTTCTCCTCTTTCAACAGGTGAAATGTTGAGAAGTACTTTGGTGAGAAATGTTTCGTTCTAATCTTCTTTAGTTTGAGTTATGCATGTTACATTGTCACCATAGATAACTAATAGGTTCTTGATTTGTTCCAAACTGCACGCTCCTTGTATGTAATTGATCGTTCTCAACCATATGCATTCTCAACCAATGTCATATGGTTTTGCTACCAATTCAACTTGATTTGATGATTTTATTGTTAGCCTTTGTTTTGACGACTTTTAAGAAATTGTCGTACCGTATCACATAAACACATAATTTGTTTGAAATCGTGATTAAATATGGTAAGGTACCGTTAGACCAAGTACTTCTTCACCCTCTTATTGGAGGCAGAAAAGATTTCGGTGTATATCTAGTGACCGGACAACCATGAGTGTACATGAATGAACTTGAACTTTGCACATAATAAAAAAAACATTAACATCTTCTAAATATAGTTTGACTGATGGCCGAATCTACCATTGTATAAATGTTTGAATTGCAGGTCGAGACATAAATTTGTCGAGCCATGGTCTTTCTTTTCAAATTTCCTCTTTAACAATTCAACAATCTTTTCTATTTCTTCAGGAGATTCGATAGCGTTAAAATGAGACACAATTGCCTATAATAGTAATTTTGAAAAAAATCCCAAACTCTAAAACAATGTTTCATTTTCATAGGGATCCTCCACAGATTTTAGGGTGCAGAAAAGGGGATGTGAATGAGAACTATGAAAAACAAAGCATCTTACAATGAGGTGGTGCTCCAGCTGTGAACCCAATCAGTTAGGGTTTCGACGTTGTGACTCATATCCTCAACCGAGTTGCTCTTTAACGCAACCACGATTTCCTCTCTGTAACTCTCTTTTGCCTCCTCCAGCAGCATTTGGAAAACTTCACATTCTATGTTGTTTTTTAGCTTAGCATCTGAATAACCCCTGCCCCACCGCCATATAAGCAAAATCAGTAAAAGCTACAACAAAAACAACAACCCAATACAATCCCAACTCCGTTAGGGTCAAAAAGGGTCTGTTAGACCCTATACGCTTCGCTGCTCTCTATGCCCAAAACTTCTTACAAAGGAGCAAGATGAGTTTAATGTGTTATTTGGCTTTCGTCCATTATGTACTTGTAGCTAAAACATTTCCAATAGTGACTCTTTTAGGTCCATTCATGAGATTATAACTAAAAAAAGAGGAAAGAAAAAAACCTATTCTTCAGGCGATCATACAAAATTGAGTTCTCAGTTTGAAGAACCACAACACAATCAAACCAGCGTTCGGGAAAGAAGTCACAGCCATGGTAATCCACAATGTTTCCACCTTGGGTCATCATGTCCTCAAGCTCATCACACACCTAATAAGAGGGGCCATAAACAATCGGACTTATAACAAGAATGACAAACAGATAAAGAAGCTATCCTTTTCTTTTTCTTCATCAGCTGAATAGATTAATTTCAAATTCACTCGATAATGCAGAGAAACCATAGTCAAGAATCACTACAGTATGTGTATTGATTATGGATAATGTTCAAAGTCCAAATCCAAACACATACAACAACCCAGTAAAATCCCACGGGAGTAGGGTCTGGGGAGGGTGTGTGTACGCATAGCTTACTCCTACTTGAAAGTAAAGATGCTGTTCCCAAGAGACCCCAAGCTCAAGTAGCACAAAGTACAAAAAGCATAAAGCACGGAAAAAGAAGCAGAGAGCAAGCTAAAGATAGAAAAAATAAGAAGCATCAAGCATAGTAACCACACATTAACAATCACAGAAACTACCAAAGACACATTAACAACCACGGAAACTACAACCAGACCCAAGTGCTTACCCCTATCCAAACACTCCTATTTAATGTCACATCCTCAGAAAGAGCCAAAAGTCTAAAGTCATGTCTAACCACCTCCTCCCATTTCTTCTTAGGTTTACCCCTTCCCTAACTCCCGCCCGGTGCCCGCCACCGGGGCCAAATCCAAACACATAAAATGCTGAATACTAACTACACCAAGCCATAAGCATTTCGATCACAACAAGTATTCATAATCTCTTCACCCAATACTTACAATTAATGATAAATACCAACAAATGCACTTTTGAGCCCTATATTTTCCATGGTTCCCACTTAAGCATCTCAAATTCGGAACATTTCCAACAAAAAAGCACTTTTCCAAACCTTGAAGCAATGAGGTTTGCTTTGTTCACAAATCTAGCAAGAGAAAATTAAAAATGAAGACATAAAAACACATTTAATTTCTAACTAATTGACACAAAAAAAGTAAAAATTTAAAACTAATTGACATAAAAATGAAGACATAAAAAAACATAAACTAATTGACATAAAAACTAATTGCTTTGTTCTCTCTCTCTCAAAATCTAGATGCAAAAACAAAAAACACAAATTTGGCAAATCAAAAAATGAATCTTCAATCTTTTAAATTACTCGTACAAGAAATACATTATAAGCTGTATAACCTCTATATAAGAGCATCTTAGCCAAAATCTGTTGTATTCTAAATGAGCATTACAACTATAGATGTGTACGTGCCAAAATTCATTAGTTGGGACAAATACATTTCAGAGGTAATTCAATATTTAGATAGACTATATTCTATATAGAGTTTTAGAGTAAACCAGAAATCTTATTGAAAACATGCATCTGTGTGAGCAAGAGAATGAAAATAATAAATTAATGTGCAAGGCTTACAAGGTCTTCATTGATGACGTAACAGTCAAGTTCATCGTCCCAGCCATCGTGCAAGTTCTTTGCTCTGACGAGATCACCAACGTTTATGTGTCGAAGCTGAGCCGCTTCAGCCAGGGCAGATGCCATTGTTGTCTTTCCTGTGCCCGGTGTTCCTGTTACCAGTAGGTTGGGCTTCTGTCGGCTTCTGCTGCTGCTATTGTTTGCCATAATTGCTCCAATATATATGCTTCCAAGCTGTGCAAAGAAAGGATCAATGTGCCATTATACTGATTACCGTTTAAAGTATTTGAAAGTTATGGTACTTTTATTTTTTAAGAAAATGTGACTTAAATGGTTGGGAGAAAGGAGTACATTTTAAACAATCATTTTCTTACTCACCCTACTTTCATACCACTAATTTTTTGCATTTAAATATATCTTGTGAATGAACAATGTCGCTGCTCATGGTGACTAGGTTGGCTTGCAATTTATGTTTATATAAAGATTTGTTTTTTTCAAACATTTCATGTTCATACGAAGATTTAACAATAAATGAAATCCAAAATACACACATGGTTGTATGAGAAGCACCAATCAAGGACATTCTTAGTTTATAATTTTGTTTTGTGAAGGATGTTTATCGTAATTTTATGAGATTCAAATCTTCATTCTTAACTCTTCGTTATAACTTATTACTCAGACTCTTGCATTAAAATTATGAACCATTCACATTCTTCAAAATTTTGAACAATATACTTAACGTGTGCCCGTGCGTTCTAGTTTATAAGTAAAAGCAAGAGAAATAAAACTAGATTTTGGACCGAATCTACAAAATAATAAAATAAAGAGATCGTAGCTATTGGCTGAAGCTGCATTTGTTTATTGTCCAAGAGAAGTGAGAAATTCTAACACTATGTTTGGTTCAAGGAATTTGAAAGGGAAAAGAAAAGAAAATGAAGTGGAAAACAGTTTTTTTTTGTTTGGTTAGAGAGGAAAAGTGGAAGGAAAAGAAAATGAGAAGGAAAAATGTACTAAGTGGAGGGAAATCCACTTAGTACGAGGAAAATGAGAGAAAATCATTTTCTTTTTTTTTCCTTCCAAATTCCTTGAAACAAATATAGTGTAAAGGATTTTTTTTAAGTTAAAGGACTACACCAAGTGAAGAAAAATAGAAAAGGAGGTTTTCTAACCTTTCTTTCTTTGATGCACAAATAAAAAAATGGTTTTGAAGAGTAAAAGAAGGGCCATTATAAGAATATAAATTCCTTTGGATATGAAAAAGGCAAAATCATAGTTCAAACACAACAGTAACAAAAACATGTCATTTAATAAATTCTTACCCACATAAATGCCCTACAAGTTTGAGAAATAATGCACAAAACTATGTAGGGCATTTCAATAGACAATGGAGAATGCAAAATAAAAAAATTGAACAAGATTCATAAGTTAGGGTTATATTTGACCTGAGACTAAGAAATTGGAGCTTGTTAGTCGGAGTAATAGTTCGCCGCCGTATGTCGTTCTCCTCTACTAATCGTCGGTCACCTCTGCTTTTCGAAGTTATCGGGTAGCGGCACTCAGCGGGTTTCCGATCTTTTGTTGCCGGATTCCTCCGTGTGATGTCGATGTTGGCCCCGTGAAAGAAAAAAGAAAATCCCTCCTTCCCACAAAATCTTTTAATTTTCTTTTTTTAGTTGCCCCTAAAATCTTCCCATTTATACAAAAACCACTTTTATTCATAATATTCCTTCTGTCTTAAAACATTCTTCTCATTTTTATTCACGAGGTTTGATCGATTTTATTTTCAATTTAATTTATTTAACTATAGGTATAAAACTAAAAAAATAATCTTTATACATTTAAAAACTAAATCAAAATTTCTACAAAACAGGATGTGACAAGACTATATTATTTTATCAAATACCTAACAAAAATAGGTAAAAGAAAGTGATTAAAATTTGACCGTGTGAATAGTAACTAGGAAAAACATTTAAGGATAGAGTTTGTAACTTTTAACCTATTTATCACATCACACTTTTTTACTAGAGTAAATTCCATAATTGGTCCTTTATAACAGGGGGTTTCCATATTTAGTCCTCTATTATCAAATATTACCCTCGTAGTCCTTTTTTTTAAGGGTGCCTTTCCATAAATGGTCCTTTTTTTATCTTCCACCATGTGGGTATTAATTTAAAGACTAAAAGTATAATTTGACATCAACATTATGTCTAGTAACGTGTTCTGATATTGGTTAAGCGGATAACACAAAAATAATGACTATGATTATGGGCTAGGATTCTGACGAAAGACTACATTTGTAGACTATGGTTGTAGAAAGCGAATGTAATTTACAAACGACGCAAACGGAACAACTTTTGGAATTGTGTATGATAAGAAAGATATATTATTATTGCGAAATTACACTTTTAGCCCTCAAATTAACTCCCACGTGATAGAAGATCAAAAAAAGACTATTTGTGGAAAGATACCCATAAAAGAAGGACCACTGGGGTAATATTTGATAATAGAGGACTAAATAGGGAAACCCTCCTGTTATAAAGGACCAATTATAGAATTTACTCTTTTTACTAATAATCTATATATCACATCTTACTTTTTACTCAACATATGAAAGGCATTTTTAGAAAATTAACACAAAAATATTACTCTATTAAATTTCCTAAAAATCAAAATGAGAATTTCTATTTGGGACGGAGAAAATATTTCTTTGTATTTGTTTAGTTAATTTTTTTGAGTCAAATTGAATAAATTTTGAGTTTCAGTTACTCACATTTCGTATTGTAAATTAGTATAATGAAACAAAATTTTGTAACTTTTAAACATGATAAATTTAATAAACCTATTTTTATACAAATAAATATTACTACCTCCGTCCCAAAGTATTTGTCCATTTTCATTTTTACACACCATCCAATACGCTTCTTTAATCTATTTTATCTTGTAATTTGTATATTAAAAAATTATAGAAATTATATATTAATAATCTATATGTTAAGACAAATCAAACAAGATCACACATGACTATATTTAGGCTTACACATTGAGAGAATTTGATGAGTCAAAGTGTTTAGATGAACAGTTCCAAAAGTCAAAATTGGACGAATACTCCGGAACGAAGGGAGTACTACGTATAATTTTTTTAATTTCATACTCCGTAGTTTATACTTTATACACATGAACAGAACTCGCCGAAGAACGGAAGGAGTATGATTTTCCCAATGCATTTAGGCATGTCCAACGGGGTGTTCAACAGAAAATCACCCACGGGTGACGCGAGTTTTGTTGAAATAACTCTCAGGTCCCTCTGTTTTCAAGAAGACAGCAGAGGTCCTTACATTTTGTTGTAATGACTGGAAGGGGACATTTCATCCAATATTTCATCTATAAACGTTAATAAATGTATTTTTTCCTATTCTTTTCTAAATGTTTTAAGGTAATAAATCTTAACTCGCTCTTTTTTTTATTTCTTTGTTTTTCTTTCATTTTGTTACTATTTTTTAAAGTGTTATTTTAGAATTTCTTCTATAAAATCATATAAAAATTCAAAATTATTTGTATTATATTAAAACAAATGAAATAAACAAAATTTAAAAAAAAGAAAAAAACAAGGTGATGGCAAACTAGGAAAAAACGGTATTGGAAAAATGGGAAAAAAATACATTTATTAACACTTACGGATTATGTATTGGATGAAATATCTCCTCTCAATCATTACAACAAAATATAAGGACCTCGGTTGTCTTTTTGAAAATAGAGGGACCTGAAAGTTATTTCGACAAAACTCGCGTCACCCGCGAGTAATTTTCTGGGGTGTTCAAAGGTTCAATTCCATAGGGCCCGAACATTTAAGGGGGCCATTTTTCAATACCATAGGTTTAAGTCCAAGCCCAATGTACTCCTTTTCCTAAAAAGTAGAAATTGCTCGCTCTGGACGCCTTTCACCTCATGCCTGATAGGATTGTGAGAGAACGTAAATCATGGTGAGTGGTGACTTAATCGTTAACATGGACTGAGATCAGTGCTCACTGCAGACAAAGAACTCCCCTCATTTTTCGAGAAGATGCTCCCACACTGCCGTGGGTGAGGCTCAATTTTCGGTCTCTTGTTCTAAATTTTATCTTTGAGACCAATTGAGTTGCCCATACGAGCTTGAAGCAGAATCTTCTCTGTATTAATTTGGCATGTGATTATAATGTTCATCCGATGTTCCAATCTTCCTATGTTCACCACCGCATCAATCTATCTCCTTCCTTCTCTCCGCTCACTTGATTATTAATTAAGTAAATTCCCGAGATGGTTATCAATACCTATGTATTTTATCAAATTAGTCCCAATGATAAATTAATTATAGAGATATTACTCGTTAATAAAACATAATGCTTAGTTTAATTTTTCAACTTACATCCGTCAAGACGATGTTAAAACTTATAATAACTTTTCAAAATGTTCCTCTCTGATTGATTGTTTTCTCAAATTGATTCAATTTTGGAATAAAAACTCTATAAAAATAGAAAAATCATTTTAAATTTTATAGAATGAGTATATAATAAATAAATAAATAAATAAATAAATAAATATAATCTCATTTCATAATATTCCTTTCGTCTCAAAATAACATTCATATTTATTAAAAATTCTAGACTAATTTTTAGTTATATTTATTTGAAAAAACTATGGTTGAACACTCGAACATCATAAAGTTAAGTAGATGTCTTTTTCAGAATAGGTGCAAGTGTTTATTAAATACTCTCTCCGTCCCATTTTGACTTTTAAGATATGGGCCGTCATGTTTAGGGCTTCGATCCAAAATTGTGGTGGTAAGTGGGCTTGAAAAAGTAAGGTGCAGACAGTGTTGTTTATAGTACGAATAGTGCGTTTGGCCTGTCCATTTTGCTGACTCGTGTGGGGGCACAAAAAACGGAAGAGAATTCCTCTAGAAGAGAGAAAGTCAGCAAGAGGGAGATTTTTGTATTCTGTACCGTTATCACATTGAATAACGCGAACAGTAGTGTGAAATTGTGTCTATACGTAAATTAAGAATTTTGTGAGGACAGAAAAAACATCAGATTTATGCCGAAGGGGAAAAACCCATAAATAATGAGAGTAATCATCTAAGAGTAGCATGTAAAATTTAAATCTGGTAGCACTAAGAACTGAGGATTGCCATAAGTTTGTATGTAATAACTAAAATGCAAAATAAGAAACACGAGAAGACGATGAAAATGGGAGACGAACATGTTTCCTTAACTGACAAGCATGACATAAGGTAGGCATTTTTTTATTAAAATGAGAAAACTAGGGATGGGGTACTCCACGGAGAACAGCTGGGCTAGGGTGTCCGAGACGGCGGTGCCATAGTTGGAAGTCACTGGTGGAGAGATGGGCTTGAGCTGGGCTAGATTGCAAGGGGTATAGGAGGCCATCACTACTAGACCGATGAATCACGCGCCCCGTCCGAAGGTCCATCACAGAAAAGCCAGTTTGGTCAAATTCAATAGAACAATTATTGTCACGGGTAAACTGTCGAACAAAAATCAGATTATGGGTGATGTGGGGGGAAATAAGTACATGTATAAGGAAAAGTGGGTGAAGGGTTGATGGGGAATAACCCCATGTCAGCCTAAGGCTGACATCAGCAAAAATTTCCTAAGTATCGGGCTTGGACGTCTCTCCTGCTCGGCCCACGAGCTCCGCTCGTCCCTCCTGCTCGGCCCACGAGCTCCGCTTGTCCCTCCTGCTCGGCTCGGCCAACCAAGCCGAGCCCGACCCCCGCGACAATGACGTGAAGAAAATGACGTGCGACAAAGACTTGATGAAAGCGATAGGATGAAAGGGACAAGACCAAGGGACAGGTGACGTCCGCTAAACGACGAACCTCGATCAGAGGGCTTTGACTTAATGTATTGTACCCCCTATAAAAGGGGTGGCACCCCTCATTGTAATGGATCCAAATTCTAAGTCAATATACTCCTACTTTGCATTCTCTCTCTCTAAAACTTATATTATTTAATATATTCGGTGGTTTATAATCATCAGGGGTGTTTAGCGTGCAGGAGCCAGTAGTAGTACTGCAAACTTTAGATCCATTACCAACTGTGATATGTGTAGGAGAATAAATGTTTTGAGAGAAAACATGAGAAAGAGTACCTGGGTCGGAAGCAATGTGGTGAAAGGCACCGGTGTCCAAGAGCCAATTTGGTTCCCGGAGAGTCATGTTGTCAAAGTAGTGGGCTAGTGCAGTGGGGGTTTGGGGGAGGGTGGGGGACGGGTTTTGGGCTGGGAAAAAGGGGGTTATGGGACTGGGTTGGGTTTTGGGCTGGGAAAAAGGGAGTTAGTGGGCTGGTTTGGGCTGTCGGCTAGGAGAAGGGAAAAAGGTAGGGTTGGTGGGCTAGGTATGGGTTGGGTTTTGGGCCCAAAAGTCCAGGCTGAGATGTCCAGGTATTAGTTGTGGGTTGGCAGAAATTGGATTCGCCGTAACTTCGTCGATCGCGACTATGCCCACGCCCACCACCACGCCGGTCCTTCCACCGCCGTTGCCGCTGTAGCCATAACCTCCGTTGCCGCCGTGGTATGGCTCTGATACCATGAAGAAATTCTGTATATTCGATAAATCAAGAGGTGTTTACAAGAGATGAATATATAACGTGGATTCCCGGGGCTATACATGGTAGGAATCGTACTACATAAATACAATATTCACAAAAGGAAGCTAGATCATATTATAATATGGAAACTAAATCATACTATTAATAATGTTATATTGAATATAGTAAAGGGAGAAAGACCAAAGTAGGACTAAAACATTGAAAACATATCAAAATAGGACTTCCATGTTTTTATTCCCGAAATAGGACTTACATTACCAAACATGGTCATATACATTACCAAAAAAGTATAGTAATCTGCACATGTACACTGCCACATTACCACAATGCAAAGTCACATTACCACAGTGCAAAGTCATATTCCGGGAAAAAAACATGAAAGTCCTATTTTGGTACTTTTCTCTATGTTTTAGTCCTATTTAGGATAATTTCTATGAGAGAGTAGTATACACACCACCACTCTATATTGTACTCCCTAGGTACATATGACTACTTACTTTTATGGAATGACAACAACAACAACAACCCAGGTGAATCCCACAACAGTAGGGTCTGGGGAGGGTGTGTGTACGCAGACCTTGCCCCTACTCGGAAGTAGGGAAGCTGTTTCCAAGAGACCCCCGGCTCCACCTGCACAAAAATATAGAAGGGAACACAGTATAACACAGATAAAGCACCAAGTACAAGCAACAAGTACAAGCAATAGCAGAAGATTCCAAACGAATACAACACACTACAAAACAACCTCTACAGCACCAAGCTCATATCCAGCTACTCTAATTCTAGTTTTCCAAAGGTTCCTATCTAGGGCCATATCCTCAGTCAGGTCGAGAAGTCCTAAATCGTGCCTAATCACCTCCTTCCAATTCTTCCTAGGTCTACCCCTTCCCCTACTTCCCCCGATAACTGTAATCCTCTCGCATCTCTGTACAGGGGCTTCAGGATCCCGCCGTCTCACATGGCCAAACCATCTCAACCTCGCTTCCCGCAACTTATCTTCCACAGGTGCCATGCCTACCTGACGTCGGATAACTTGGTTTGAAACCCTATCCAACCTTGTCTTCCCACACATCCATCGTAACATCCGCATCTCCGCCGCATGCAGACGACGCACATGAGTCTTCTTAAACGCCCAACACTCTGCCCCATATAACATAGCAGGTCTGACTACAGATCGATAGAACTTACCTTTCATTCTAGGCGAAATCTATGGATCACACAACACCCCTGAAGCTAACCGCCATTTGGCCCAAGCCACTCCAACACGATGTCCAACATCCGCATCTAACTCCCCATCAGCCTGGATTACCGAGCCAAGATATCGAAACCTGTCTACCTTAGGTACTAGGTGCGAGTCAATCCTGACTTCCACCTCTGGTTTTGTATCCCGGCCGCTGAAACGACACTCCATGTATTCAGTCTTGTTCCTACTTATGGAATGAGGTAATTATATTTCATCATGATTAGAAATAGAAAAAAAGCCCCTTTTTTTGTTTCTTAAAAACTAAAGCACCTTTCCTTGTTTAAAGTTATTTAATTTCAAGAGAAAAATTACTTTTCCATTTCATTTACACTATGTTTGGTTCAAAAAATTTATTTGAAAGGAAAAGAAAATTGTTTATCTCCAGTTTCCTCACTAAAATAAAAGAAACTTGGTTTTCCCTTTTCTTAGTATATTTTGTCTTATCATTCTCTGTTTCTTTCACTTTTCTTTTTTCTCTCTAACCAAACAAGATAAATATAATCTTCTCCTTCGCATTTTATTTTATTTTCTCTCTCGAATTTCTTAAACCAAAAATAGTGTTGCTTTATCTAAAAAGTTGGTGTTGGATTTAAATATATACGGAGTATTCTTTATGAGTCATTGTGGTCGTCCCCGAATAAAAGGTTAAAATTACTACGTAATATTTTATGATTACCTTACTTTTTGGTACTCCTTTCGTCCAAAAAAGATATTCATGTTTCATTTTTTGCGCATTCCATAAAATATTTCTACTCACATTTCAAATAACTAAAGTTTACCATATTTCTCCTTTATGTGGGTAGAATTTTTGAAAGTCTTTTTGGCATTTGAGGCAGGATAGAAGTGTTTATCGGATGTGCAAAATATTAAACAAGAACACCGTTTAGGAACGGATGGAGTAGAAAATAAATACCAACTTAACTTGATTTTATTACACACAAATCTTTATATATAAAATTTGAGAATTGGGCTTCTAGAATTGTGACATGTGGCACGCTTATTAGTCAACTTTTTTGACATGTGAGCATGCCATGTCAGCAAGTAATATTTAAAGAATTAGTTAACAAAAACACTTATTTTATGGAAAATGAGTTTCGTATTTGTTAAACACAGATTTATCAGCATAATCACGTTTAAAAACTTTTATAATTTATTTCCTTATTGGAAAATATTTAAATTAAATAATCCTCTCCTATAATAAAGGAGACTCCGATTTACAGCAATTCGACATTTGGCATGTCTATTTGGCAAAACTTTAACATGTCAACGCTGCATAATAACTGAGTAAAATTTAAAGAATATTATACACAGAGTAAGAAATTCATGCCGATTAAATTGATGACCTTTAAGATATTAATTGATAAAAAGGTTTAAATAATTTTCATATACATGTTTATACCACGAAGGTTAAAAGGCAAAAAAATTATATACGATTCCCAATGCAATGTTTATTACATAGCACATGGCTTATTTTTATTAAAAAGAAAACAAATGATAAAAAGTATTCATGCACACCTCAAATTTTAACATCTTTGAGGTTAACATTATTTTTCAAATACTTCTACACTATTGAAAAACCTACTAGCAACTTGAATTCACCAAAAAATAAACGACCATAATATTGATGTTAAAAAAATACTCTGATGTTTATTTGAAACCAAATAATATATCATACCCAAACACTATTTTCTTTAAAAATAAAATTGAATAATAAAAATTTGATATTTCAAAATCTTTTTGAAAATAGAAATGTATTCTATGTATATTAAAATGCAACAAAAATATGAATGGAAAAATAATGCATTTTTTTAGTATAACACATACCTTATTTATATTAAAAAAGAAAAAAACCGAATAATAATTTGACTTTTCCAAAAGTTAAAAAAATAACTTAATATATTATTGAATTTTTTTTAAAAAAATGTGGTTGAAATTTATTTAAAAAAAAAGAAATGATACTCAAATTCTTTTCCTTAACAAAAATAAAATGGTAAAATTTAAAATTTCTTTTTAATTTTTTTTAAAATAATAATAAGAACAATGAACATATCTTTTGTATATACCCTGAAGTCTTTCAGAAAATTTGGTATTAATTTTTTTTGTGTTGTACACAATCAATCCCTCAAATATTATTTATTCCACTTTGGTTTTTTTCTATGATATTAAATATCATACGAGAAGTATATTTTCTTTATTCTTGAAAAATATTGCTTTAAATTTTATTTAGAATCGATAAAAAATTTTGTTCCACCCGTGCATGGCACGGGTTTAAATACTAATAAGGCATATTTAGTTTACTAGTCTAATCTAATTATGAGTCCATTAACAACGAATCCATTAACTTAAAATCTAATATAGATCATAATACTCTTCCTCAAGTTGAAAATGATGATCACAAATATACAACTTGGACAATTGAAAATTAAACTAGGACTAGAAAATAAAACTACTCAATAAACAACATGGACAATTCTTTGATTATGTCCGACAACAACAGACGAAGGCTATTGACTAAGGGCCTGTTTGGGAATAGCTTTAGAGATTAGCGTTAGCGTTTTGAAAAGGCTATCTACGGCCAGCGTTTAGCGTTAGCGTTTTCAAAGTAATCTGCACCGTTAAAATCTTATCCAAAACGCTAACGCTAATCTCTAACGCTATTCCCAAACAGGCCCTAAGCAAATGAACAACCAAAACTGTTGAGGAACGATTCTCACGAAGTGACACAAGGATGACAGACAAGTGTCCCAAACCTATACATAAAACTCTAACCAAACCGAGGTGCAACTATATGACCAGACCCTATTTATATATATGTAAAAGAGAGATACATAGTTGTGGTAAAGACACATGTCATGCCACACGTGCATTCTATTGATCGACATACGTCATGCCACATGTAAATCACAAGACAAATGTCAATTCACACATGCATATTTAATTTTGTATTAAATCATTATTTTTATTATATTTTATAAACCCTTCACTTTCCAACATGGATTAACGTGCAAAACCTTGTGGATTTTAAAATAAATTTATTTGAAAATTGGTAAGGAAATAACACATAAAAATATTATATTTAGAAACTACATCGAAAACTCTACAAAATAAGAGGTGTCAAGAATATTTTATTTTATCAAATAATCAATGAAAACATGCAAACAAATTAGAGTTATCGAGAGGGTGTAATAGTAAATAGGAAAGACTTTTTGGGACAGAGGGAGTACAAATTTTATCACACATGCATCTTTATTAAGTTCATAACATATTTTAATCTTTTGTCTTATTACATTATTTATTTTATTACATATTTTTTAGTAAACTAAACAAAGTGAAAGTTTAATTGAAGGATTACATGTGGCACATGACAGATATGCATTCTCTAATGATGTGTCATTGCTTAATTGATTTATTTGAAATTTTTATTAATTAAAACGATTGTCATTATTTTTAATTTGATGACCATTACATTTGTATAAAACTTTAAAATAGTTAGAAATTATTTATCAAACAAATCATATATCATTAATAAAAAACTTAAAATAAATGATATATGTTTTTAGATGTCAAAATTTAGAATATATGTGAGCCAGTGCAAAGCACGGGGTTAATACTTTTATATATATATATATATATATATATATATATATATATATATATATATATATATATATATATATATATATATATACA